ATTCTCTGCTCTCTGGGTGCCCTGGATTTACAAGAGATGAACACCTCTGATTTCAGTAGTTCTTACAAGCTAGGCAAAACTGAGTTATGAAGAGGTCAGCATAGGAAATCGCCATCAACTCCTTAGCCCCACTGCTGTAGGAGCTTCTGAGCACAATATTTAAACCCTGGTCTTCCAGAAACTTTTTTTTTTTTTTGCTTGAATTTGTCATCACATACTCTGTATGATGGAGAGACTTGGGTTTTTGAAAAAAGCTCCACAATTCTGAACGATAAATGTCACATTTGCATAATTCCTTTTTTCCTTCTACCTCTTTCCTCTTCTCCCCATCCCACTGAAGCAGTGAAGATCAGTAAATTTTCCCCATTGTTATTGACAAAAGGAGAACACTGAACAAAGGAATGAAAAGAAAGTAGGAGACAACGTGGGGCTAAATATCCTGATCAAAACCACTTTTGTCATTTGGGCATCAGTTTTTACAACTAATTTGGCACAGCATCACTAGCGAGCTGCCTGCAAAGAGATGAGATGATTTGGGAGTGAGAAATAAGTCTGCAGGCTTCCTGTGCGTGGGCTGAGCCCCGTGCAGCCGGGTACATTGCTGTCTGCCTGAGATCATCTTTGTTTTCTCTCCCCCATTCTGGGGCTTGCAGGACCAGGGCTCTGCAGCAGTGGCTTTATTGCTGTGTTGATTTGTAACCCGTGAATGTTTCCAATGAGATGTGTCTAATTTATTGGCATAAACCATTAGATTTTTCTTCAGTGCCCTGGAGTTTCTGATTCACCAGCTGAAAACTATTATCACAGAGCACATAATCACTTGGAAAGTGCCTCTGTCTTCTCTTTCTTTGTGTGTTAAATTCAACCACATAAATAGCAATTTTATAGCACAAAATAGGCCAAAAAGGTACCAGATGTTCTGTATTTCTGTTTTGTTTTTCCCTTAGGGCAGTTTGGTCAGTAGTGATGTTGACAGCTGATGTGAACCTTGGGCACTGTCTGTGAACTTCCCTCATAACACTTCTGCAAGAAGCTCCAACCCTCTGAACAGTTTCAAGTGCACAGGCTGGGCTTGGCACTGTGACAATTTCAGCTGGAAATACATTTTCATCATAGTAATGTTTAGTGAGAGTGTAAGGGCTTTGCAAGCATCTTGTTAGATACAATTCTGGCAACTGCAAGGAGAGCAGAGAGTCCAGATTGTTCCCAGAACCAGGATAGAGGATTTCTTGGCCCAGTGTTGCTGCTGCCTGCCTTCATCTGAGTACATTTCTAATCTACCCTCTGCTATTTTATGTGTGTATTTTAATTGGGCTCTAGCCTTAAAGGAAGATCAGGCTCATTACAGTTTTCAGTAGCTCAAAAAAAATCTTCTCTCTCCAAGGCTTCCTTATTTCCCCCTTCTGTGAACAGCAAAATGTCCTTACCTTTAGCACAGATCCTTGATGTTCTGGGCATCAGCTTAGATTCACACCTTGTTTCAGGTTGTCCCCCTAAATTTGGGCAAAGCTTCATGCAGGGTCAGTCACACTGCTCTTCTTCAACATCCACACAAATAACGCTCCTGCTCATGGATATAATCAATTTTCAACCTCTGTTCTGCTTGTAAGGGAGGGGTTTGGTAGAAACTTTCTCCAAGGGCCACACGAAAAGTGAGGGAAGAAAAGGAAGTTTGTGCCTATACTCTGCAACAGCTTGAATAAGGGAAACATTAAGAAATGCACAACTGATGGCACTTTTTTTAGGAACCTACCTATCAAGAAGATTGAAAGACACTTTGGGAATATTACAAACCTCTGCATTGTGGTCGTGTCTGAAATTCTGGTAATAGTCTACTTTTTTTAGCAATATAGTAATTGCACCTCTCAATGGGAATGCTACTCAGGAATAATGATCTTATCAAGACAAGGGAATATAGATTGTAGTAAAGGTTATGATGGTTTCTGTGAGAGGCTTAACATTGATCTTTTTAGCTATCTGATTTTCCAGGAGAGGAAAAAAAAAGAACCCTAACCACTTTGAGTTTTGCATGTGATTTGGTGTGAAAATTCTTATGGGTGGTTTTAGAAGATGGAACTTGAAGTAAATTTGCTAAACTGCTTTTTTCATCTCTCTTGTTTCATGAATACTTTTAAAAAGAAATGGATTTTTTTCCTATTTCCCACACATTTTATGCTTCTCTCAGTTCTTTTAGTTTTTTTTTTCCTTCTAATGCAAGTCAAAACTGTTAGAGAAATCAAAAGTAAAAATCCGTTATGTTGAAAAGGCCACGTTGTGAAATATATCATAAACATGCTGTTGGAGCAGTGTCTCCTAATTAATGGAGAGAGCTCCTGGGAAACAGCAAGCCTGTCACACAGCTCAGCCCCCTTTGATCCTCTGGTGAATTTGTAAAATCGTTGCCCGCCTAAACTTGTCTGCAGCTTGTTACACATTTTACCCATCTGCTGCAAGAACAAAAATAAACCATTTATAATTCAGCTGAACTCCAGTTGTTCAGCATATCACTGACTCTGGAGTCTTTAGTAAGAGGATGGTAGGAAAAGAAAAGCAAAGGTGAAGCAGAGTCAGGCACCCTGGAAAAGACATTGCTTTTGCCTCTAGAGATTGTGTAGGCACTGGGTTGCAAGTTGCACGTGTGAGTTGCAGGTGTTACTGCAAAATGGTTTAGATTTTTTGGTGAAATACACATCTATTGTCTATAAACTGAAATCAAACCACTTATTGTTGGGGTTCCTAGGATTCAATGAAATGTCCCAGGCTTGGGTAGAGTTGTGCATGTGTGTACATGTGCATGTGTCATGTTTCCCCACAACCTACAGGCAGCTGCTTGCTATATGAAAGTTCATGTTCAATTTCTATTTGCTGCTTCAGATGACTGAGTGACCATATCCAAGCCCTGCAGGTGGGTCTAGATCACTGCTTTACTTCCCTTACTGAAGCAAAATCTTGCCTTGAAAGCTGCCTTCATTTTTATGGTTGTGGTACCAACCTCCCTGTGTCACTCTGTGATGCAGCCAGCCAGAAGTGGGGTAGCTCTGTTGGACCAATCAGGGGTTAGTTCCAAAATCTAATAACAAGAAGAGCTAATTATTGCCTATGCAAATATCAGAGGGCTATGTTCTGTTGATTTTTAGAACAGATCAGCACTTCATTTCAGCACCCATATGCTTTATCTCCATCACTTCTGGATGCCTGCATCCCTCTGAGGGCCACTGCTGCCATGAGACAGAGGGAGAGCACTGTGAGGTTCTCCTTTCATCAGAAACCAGAGTTTCATTTGCTCTTGCCTGTAAATAAATGCCATGTTAAAAATGTACCCAGTATCTAGCACTTACCTGCCAGAGCTCTTCCATGCCTGGGAGAATCTACCTGTTTAAAGTACCATCTCCTCCCAGTGACTTCTCTGGTGCTGTGCTTTACCAGTACCCAATCCACATTATGCTGCAAATGCCTTGTTTGGAGCCTGTAATCTCTTTTAGTCTATGAGAAAATCAATTGCACAAAGCAGAGAGGCTTTGCCAAAGGCAGAGTTGCTAAGAGGAGAGCCAGGGAAGGGAACAACTCACCTGGGAGGTGAGGCTGTGGTACTGTCTGCTCCTTGCCAAAGATTTAATGCATGGCAGGGAGCTTTACCTGGATCCCAGGGGCTGAGCTGAGGGCTGGAGCTGCCAGATGGATGCTGGAACAGTCTGTGCCCTGAGCTCAGGGAGTTTGTGACAGCCACAGCTCTTAAAATGCCTTTAGTAACCCACATTCATTTACTGCCCTTGTTAGGGCTGCAATTCAGAGCACAAGCTGAAGCTGACAATAAACCTGCTGGAAGTGTCTGCAGCATAAATCAACATCACTGAACAAAATTATTTGGCACAGGTGTTTTAAAAGCTAAAGTCTTCCTAAGTCACTGATCTCATGTCTAGAGGAGCTGCTCACCAAGCAAAGTGGGATCTCCTTAGCTCCATTTAAAATCCACAACACTGAAATTCCCACTGCATTTCCCTGGAGATCATTTCAGAAGGTAATACACATTGCTGCTGAGCTTATTTTCTTGCTGTTACACCGTATTTACCCTTTTATACTTTGATTGCTTTTAGACCTCTCAATTCAACAAGACATTCATATTTATTTTGAAGCTTCTTTTTAGCTGTCTTCTAGTCTAAAATCTGCACCTATTTAATTTGTTCTTCCTAAACCCATCATCCTATTTGAAGGTTTCTCCTTCTCAGAGTTCCTAAAAGAATGTCTGTCTTGTGATGCTGTGGGAAGATGTATATTGGGCAAAAAGGCATGCTAACTTTCTGCAACTTATGTTTTTATTTAGAGTTTAGATGAATTTTGAGAAAGCATCATATTCAGATGACACCAGTGCTTTTGTTAACTTGCTTCTGTTCTCAGTAATTTTGTACCTGTAATATTACACCTCCTCTGTTTGGCTTTTTTTTTTTTTTCATTTCTGTGAATGGCAAAACAGCTCTGGGCTATGGGCAGAGAGAGTTTCTTCATAGCTTTTCTGGAGCAAAGCATTTGAGATGTTTATCTGCCATGGGCTGCTACTGCAAGCTTTAGGCCTGTCATTTTCATCATACAGAACATAATTCTCCCCAAATTATCCTCCCTTCAGCTTTCTCACCTGTTCATGCTAATGCTAAGGAAATTGGGACAGGAGGTTAATTGAGATTTTTGATTACAGGTTGTTTTTTACCTTTTTTCCCCCAGATCTGTTGACAGCTGTAACCAGAGCGTGTGCACTTCAAAAAGTTACTTGTGTTCCAAGGTTCTGTGTTCTTATTTTTATCTTAGGTTTAGCAATAGAATAAAAGCTTTCCAGATTTCTGCAGGAATATGGGCAATTTGTCCATCATTTCTGGATTTCTGGTAGCATTCTCAATGGATAGAAGTGCTTTTTCCATTTCCCCCTCTCAGTTCTAGTCATCTCACATAGATAGTGTGTCGACAGGTGCTGATGGACAAGCAATTTACAGTAATTTCTTATTCTGTAGCTCCCCGAATTGTAAGTGACATGCTGGCAAAGCTGAACAACTGATCACCAGACACTGGCATAGTGTTAAACATGGCTTCTGAGGCTGCTCACAATTTCCTCCAGCCACTGTCTACTTGGATGTCTCAAGTATATGAAGCAATCCAGCAAGCAGGAGACTCCATATCTGCCTCTCTGCTGAATCTGAGTGGAGTGGGTCGGAAGCCAGAAGGAGAAAGGACCCAGGACTTGGAGAATAATGGAGGAGTTTTTGAGGATTATTCTGAGGAATTAGATGATGAACAGGAGCTGGACATTTGGGATGAAGACTATTTCTACCCTAGAGATGTCAGCTACATTGGAGGCCTTGATCTTGCTTCACAAAACCTCCCTCAAGGCTCTGACACGGATCCACAGAGGCACGAAGGGGTTAAAACCACCAGCACCTTGCCAGAGCAGTGCACTGAAAGCAGCAGGACCTTGACAGCCAATGGATCCTACTGGATGAGTGAGGATCTCCAGCCTCCTGATCGGCTTCCCCCCATTGCTGAGGAAGAAGGTGAGCCCTCCTGGAGGATGGGAGCCCATGAGCACAGCCTCAGCTTGGGGGGCTCCTTGCACAGTGCCAATGGCACGGCACGCTGTGCAGGTAAGCAGCTGGCACCACCCTGCCTGCGTTACCCACGCTTTTCCTTGCTGCTGTTGGTTTCATTATTTGCTAATCTGCTCAGTATGTTCTGTATGGTCTCTGTTTCCCACAGCTAAAATAAAACTCCCCAAATCCCAAAGAAAAAATCTAACCTTTCCAACCCTTCCCTTGTTTGTGAGACTAATCTCATTGAAAGAATTGGAGATCTCTGGGGTGAAATGCTGTGTATTAGAGGACAATCCTGTGTATTAGAAGGCAATCAGGCCCTGCTGCTGTAGCAAGGAGTATTTTGCTTCCCTCCCTGTTCAGTTTTTGGTAGCAGGACCCTTCAAAGAGAGTGTTTAGCCTTAAGCCTTCGCTTTGAGAACCATCTGCCTTTGTGTCATTGCTATTAAAGATATATGTAATCTCAAACCTTGTTTCTTTGTGCCAGGAATCTCAAGATGTTACTGTGCCATGTGCTGTGAAATGCTGTACTAAAAAGCCAGCCGTATCTCATGATTTTATGGATGAAAGGCTCCCAAATCACTTTCCTCTCCTCCCACCACCCCCACAGGCTTTTCAAACAAGACTGAAGAGACAGCAGGCAGGAGATTATGGGAAGGAGAACGGAGTTTGATATTTTCAGTTTTAAATAGGCCTAACTATGACTTCTGATCTTTAAATGACAGCAGGAGTGTTGTCAGGGGATTGTGCCCAGGACTGAGTGTCAGCCACATGACTTGTGATCGCTCAGTGTTACCACAGGTGTGGCTGGAGGTTTCCTGGCTCACAGAGAGAGATGATGACACAGGTCCTGACTGCACCCAGGGAAACTGCAGTCCTGCTGACACCATCCTTGGGTCTTGTTGGCACAAAGCTGCTCTTAGCAAACATCCTAGGAATGGGAATGAGGGTGAAAGGAGGATGGGGGAACTGGGTTCTGCAATATGGAGCTGATGAAGAACTTGAGGCTCACTGAGGATCTACAGAATTTGGCTTCAAATATCTAATTTTTTTTTTTTAAGCAGGTGGTAAATACTCTTGAAAATGTCTGTTTTATTATGACCAGGAGCTTTTCTTCACTCTTGGCTTCTAGGGAAGTCTTACATATTTAGCCTTTTCTGTGCAGACTGTGGAAGATCAGCCTGTTTGTTTTTGTATTTAACAGGAGTATCAGACTGAGAGGGTATAAACCTTGATGGTACTCTTTAATGACTGTAAAATTAGCTCTTTTCTTTATTGCTATTTCTCACTCTGTTATGGCCAGGGAGTAAATAATTAAAAAGCTCTTTTGGTCTAGCTGTTCTGCCTCCCAAACTGGGACTGCTTGTTTAGTATCCCAAATGAAAGATTGCCAGTTCTCAGATTAAAGATCTCAGAGTTGAATCTCTTGGAGCCCAGTCCCTCCCTTCTGGTACCCCTGTGCATTGCCTGGGCAATATCCTGCCCCAGGGTTTATCCATGGGCACTGAGCCAGTGCTGCAGGGTGGGTTTGTGTGTGTGCTTGGACTGGGTGACCAGTGTGGGCACAGAAGTCATGGAACAGGGTGCAAAGTGTCCATTCAGGGAGTGCTGGGGCTGTGGATCCTCCTGGATGAGTGCTGTCCTGGGGTATTTTGGGGTTCCCAGGATGAAGGAGGAATTGATGAATCTGACTCCATGTACTTAGAAGGCTTAGATTAGATTACACAATACTATATTATGCTATATTATACTAATCTATACTATACTAAAACTATACTAAAGAATAGACAATGGATACTTATAGAAGGCTTAACAAGATACTAATGAAAAACTCATGACCTCTTCCAGAGCCCCGACACAGCCTGACCATGATTGGTCATTAAGTAAAAACAATTCACATGAAACCAATCAACCAACCCCCTGTTGGATAAACACTCTCTAACCGCATTGCAAAGCAGCAAAACACAAGAGAAACAATCAGATAATTATTGTTTTCATTCTTCTCTGAGGCTTCTCAGCTTCCCAGGAGAGGAAATCCTGGCAAAGAGATTTTTCAGAAAATATATGACAGTGACACTGTCCTAGGGCACAACCTGCAGAGCCTGCAGCCCTGAGACTCAGGAGGGGCTGTTGGAGCAACCCACAGCAAATCCTGGGGCTCAGCAGGTCCAAAGACAGCATTCCCAGGGGTGCTCCCTGTCCCTGTCCCTTGCTCACAGTGGGTAGATGAAAGCTGGAAAGCTCTCAGGGAAATAGGGCCCATGAAGGAGCTGCTGTCCTGGTCAGAGCTTTTGTCACCTGCAGGGACCTCTGAGAAAAAGATTTCTTAGGGGTAGGTGATGAACCAGATGGAGTTTCCTGATGAGAGACTTAGTGACAGACAGATGCCAGAGTGACCCATCCCTGCAGCTCAAGGGAAGGTCCCTCTGGACATCTCTCTCAGATGAGAGCAGGTCCTGGTCAAGCTGCTGTTTGATTCTCCATATTTTTTGGCTTTCCTTCTCCCTAACCTTCCTGGAGCCACTGTGGGCTGGAAGGGCTGGCCCCATGGAGCCCCCAGCACCTACAGTGCTGCTTCCTAGAGCTCTCTGCTTGCACACCAGGCACTTCAGGGAGCACCTCTCAGCTTTTTGCACCTCAGGGAATGTCATTCCAAATGGTCTCAGACAGAGTTTAATCTTTTTATCTCTGCAATGTGCTGCACAAAGGGCCAGCCAATGGTCTCAAGACTTCATAGTCACAAAAGTTGGCTGTTTGAGGGTTACAGGGCTGGGAACTGATACCTTTTTCTCTCAGAACTAAGTTGTATAATGGGAGAGAAAGTGCTCAACTGTGATTTGAAAATGTCTTCCCCAGACCCTTTGATGTGGAAGAACTCATTTTGCTCTTCTAAGTGAACTTTCGCTTCCAAAACACACGTGCTCTTTGTGCTTTATTTTTCAGCTCTTTATTTCCTCTTTTTCCTTTAGATTCATTCTCTAACATCAAGAGTGTGAACTCTTCTGATGGTAACCTAGACATGCAGAGAGGCTGTAATACCCTGGCAACTTAAAATTTCAGTCATGGATTAAAATGATCAAGAGAAGATGTTCGAGGTATCCTTATTTCTGTTAGCTTTTTACCTAACCCTAAATGACAATATAAGTGACACATGGATTTGCTGACATTCAGCAATGCTGTTCAGTAGCATCAAAATGAGCTTTGAACATTTTTCCTCCCATTTGGCAGGCTTCTCCCCCCTCATTTCTGCAAAATACGTATTTCCTGTTTATCCTTGTATTCTTTTCAGAACATTGCATCTTGACTTTATTTCACTTAATGTACCATATTTCTCTCCACAATAGAATATTTTAAAGCTAAATTGGCACAAAACAGTAGCAATGCTGAATGCTTTTTGTTGCCATGGAAATATTTCTGGGCACTTACTGAAGACCTGGTTGCCAATAGTAATGTAACAGAGAAAATAGATATGCTTCATTTAGCAGCCTCTGGTGATTAAAGAGCCACAGAAACCTGTTACAAGGTCATTCCAATATATAGTTTATTTGGTTTAGGGGGGAAAAGCCCTGCAGCCCTAGGTGAGAATAATTTTGTGTTAAAAGAGATGCAAACAAAATCCAATAGATGTTCCCTTCTCTTAAACTGACAGCATGCTTCTGAGATGAAATACAATAACACTGTAGTTAAAAACCATCATTACTCCTTCTCCTTTTTATCAAATATGTTTTTTGATCCCATTTTTGCCTCTTAGGAAATGTTTCCTGGCTCCCAGAGTAAATTTTCTTAGGCTCTGAAGCAGCACACATATTACTGAAAACCTATTTTAGGCTTAGGGACCTAATAAATTGCTTGAGCAATGAAATTCTTGGGTTTTGAAGTCAAATGTCCATCAGACACCATGAGGCAGGTTAATCATGGGGTGCAGGTTTGGGTGCTGCCCTGTGCTGCTCTGCAATTAAATGATGGTAGCAAAGTTGTAGCAAGTTTTCAAACAAATGCAAGGAAGTTTGGTTGTTTGTTTTTTTTTTTTTTTACTTTGTATGCTTTTGATCCACAGTTTAATACTGAGAAGGTGGCTCAGCAGGAATTATTGCAGAGCCAGGTGTTTGGCTTAAGAAGTCAATGATGGCAAGGCAGAGCCTTCTGTGTGTGCAGATTGCTGCCACCAGTGGCAAACCCTGTAGCTGTGAATTTTGCATAATAGATGAACTCGCTCTCTCAGAGCCTTGTCCATTGTTTAACCTCAGTGTTTTAACCTCAGTGTCTGTGGCAGAGGAGCTGTCTCACAGCACAGAGCAGGGAGACAGCAGCCTTTGCTTTGCATCCCCCCATGGCTGGGAGGCTGCTGCTCAGCTGACTGGGGGTGGCTGCCAGATCCATCATTGCACAGTTGGCTTGAAAATTGAAAAAAAAAAATCCAAATCAACAAACAGAGGAGCAAGAAACCAAGTCTGAAAGTAGTGCACTGCAAGTAGAAGGGTAGAGGTGGCCAGTGCTTCTTCTTCCCAGCATGAATCTAAAAGAGAAAAACAGCAATAATGGAAAAAGTGAAGAATAACAATGAGTGTGCACTGAAGGGAAAAATCAGCAATAATGGAAAAAGTGAAGAATAAAAATGAGTGTGCACCACTTCTCCCCCAGGGCTGCTGTCCTTTGCAAACAAAAAACCAAATGACCACTAAGTTCTCATTTTCACCAGACACTGCCCTGAAAAGGCACAGGGGCAGGCAGAGCTGAGCCTTCTGAGTGAGAGCTGAACTATTTTTGCAGGAGTGAGTGCTGGGGTGGAAGTCTCCCAGGCTGTCTGGCACTGCTCACAGCCCTGCTGTAATGGATAGGTGAGCACAGCACTTCCACTGCAAAAAGTCCTTAGAGATTTCTTCTCCTCCATCAACTGGACAACCTCAGTGCCAGCTAAAGGCTGCATTCCAGTTGCACTAAAATAATTTTTGTGGCCTTGGAATGCTAGGAAGTGTGACAGCCCCTGTCTGGATGGCTGGCTAGTTTTCCTCAGCACATGTGCGAGGGGAAGCACACCTCTGAGGCTCTGGGAG